GCTTCTTATTCGTAGCGTCTTATTTTGCGACTGTATGTTCACTTCATATTCGCAGCACCGATAGAAGGGAATGTTTGCGCATGATGCAGTTTTTACAAAACATTTTGGAAATACAAAATAACGTATGAATAAAAGGTTTGAGCTATAGAACGTATATTTATTTCGTATAAGAAAGTCTTCCTGTACTGAAAATGGTGGAATTACCTGGGCATAATTTGATTTTCCATTTGTAATAGTAAACTGGTCGCATGACACTTTGATCAATTGTTCACACTCATTTGAATAAGAAGCCATATTTCCAAATAAAATGCGGAGGCCTTATTCATCTTAGGTGAGGCAAATATGAAATGCATAGTACACAGCAGGCATATGCCACTCTAATGACAATGAAATTAGCCTAGCTGAAAACATGGCTGTCTGGCCCAGGCTAATTTCATTGTTCCCTTACAATGACATACCAGCCATATATATCGCACGACATAATATTTTATTTCGTATTTTCAAAATGTCAACTAAAACCTGTACAGCATGTGCAGCTGCGAACACTCCCTTATAGGGAAGCTGGTAGTAACTATATTAAGCCGTGAAATAAGACGCTAGGAATAAGATGCTAAACGAACCGGAAGCTGCAGATAAGTAGCGTTAATTAAGTTAAGCCGCGTGTGACTTTGCCATGTTTGGGCGACAAGGTTGACCATGGTCAAGAAATACGAAGACAACGGAATCCAACGCACTGAGAAAGCGCAGCAGTGATCCGTAGCTCCGCCCACCGCCCCGATTAACATATATTTGCATGTAGTGAACTTGAAAATGAAAAGGCAAAGTAGTAAATGAAAAGTCAAATTGAAAAATGAAGACAGAAAGGGTTTTTAATTTTATTTTTTTTATTTTTCACATCTCATACATGACTGGAAAATTAAATGTAAATAGTGCTATTTCATTTTAATTTTTGCAGGATTTTTGCACACAGACTTTGGAAACTAAATGGAAAATTGGAGATTGTATTTTCTTTTTATCGTTTTAATTTTATTTTTTTGCAGAAAATACCTCCCATATACCAGGGTTGCCAACTTTAGTCAGCTGGCTAGAGTTAGATTTTCAATTCGAGACAAGTCTGCATACTCATTGAGAAGGGTCTGGCTGCAGATCTCCACCAGGGGGATCTCCACTAGAGGGATGGAAACACGTGATCTCCACAAGTGAATCTGAACGTGACGTTAGGCAAACATGCATGGAGGTGGTACCAGATATCACATAATCGTCACACACAGCCCGGACTTTAACTCGACCGAACAGAAATCGAGTCTTTTAAAGTATATACTTATTATTTAGGTGATCGATTTTAATTATATTATTAACATTGGAAACGGACGTTAATAATGTATTTAAATTCTACAAGAAGGGATGTTAATAGCATGTGTTATTTTTATTATTTCAGTACGTGTGAAATTCTCACTTTAATACGGAGCCCCCGAAGTCCCATAGGGTGATTTTTTTTTTAATCGTGTGGCACAAGTTATTTTCTTGTGCTCACAAGTTATTCTGTGCGCACAAGATAATTTACTCTGTGTTTGAGGCCGAGAGTAATATGACAACTATGTCTACCAAAACTATGTCTCGACGTCTAAACAAATCAACCTGGAGAGACATTTATTTACAGTCAACAAGTAACACCATGAACTCATTTTCCATTTTTTTTTATGCTGCAAACTGTTTCTTTGGCATTATGGGTGAATTATACAGTCCGTGTTTATGGTTGCGACAGAGGTGAAGCGACATGAATTCATGCGACATGACAATATTTTTCCTTCGGTCATTATCGTAACAGGTACAGTAAATATAATAAATACACTCACCTAAAGGATTATTAGGAACACCTGTTCAATTTCTCATTAATGCAATTATCTAATCAACCAATCACATGGCAGTTGCTTCAATGCATTTAGGGGTGTGGTCCTGGTCAAGACAATCTCCTGAACTCCAACCTGAATGTCAGAATGGGAAAGAAAGGTGATTTAAGCAATTTTGAGCGTGGCATGGTTGTTGGTGCCAGACGGGCCGGTCTGAGTATTTCACAATCTGCTCAGTTACTGGGATTTTCACGCACAACCATTTCTAGGGTTTACAAAGAATGGTGTGAAAAGGGAAAAACATCCAGTATGCGGCAGTCCTGTGGGCGAAAATGCCTTGTTGATGCTAGAGGTCAGAGGAGAATGGGCCGACTGATTCAAGCTGATAGAAGAGCAACTTTGACTGAAATAACCACTCGTTACAACCGAGGTATGCAGCAAAGCATTTGTGAAGCCACAACATGCACAACCTTGAGGCGGATGGGCTACAACAGCAGAAGACCCCACCGGGTACCACTCATCTCCACTACAAATAGGAAAAAGAGGCTACAATTTGCATGAGCTCACCAAAATTGGACAGTTGAAGACTGGAAAAATGCTGCCTGGTCTGATGAGTCTCGATTTCTGTTGAGACATTCAAATGATAGAGTCAGAATTTGGCGTAAACAGAATGAGAACATGGATCCATCATGCCTTGTTACCACTGTGCAGGCTGGTGGTGGTGGTGTAATGGTGTGGGGGATGTTTTCTTGGCACACTTTAGGCCCCTTAGTGCCAATTGGGCATCGTTTAAATGCCACGGCCTACCTGAGCATTGTTTCTGACCATGTCCATCCCTTTATGACCACCATGTACCCATCCTCTGATGGCTACTTCCAGCAGGATAATGCACCATGTCACAAAGCTCAAATAATTTCAAATTGGTTTCTTGAACATGACAATGAGTTCACTGTACTAAAATGGCCCCCACAGTCACCAGATCTCAACCCAATAGAGCATCTTTGGGATGTGGTGGAACGGGAGCTTCGTGTCCTGGATGTGCATCCCACAAATCTCCATCAACTGCAAGATGCTATCCTATCAATATGGGCCAACATTTCTAAAGAATGCTTTCAGCACCTTGTTGAATCAATGCCACGTAGAATTAAGGCAGTTCTGAAAGCGAAAGGGGGCCAAACACCATATTAGTATGGTGTTCCTAATAATCCTTTAGGTGAGTGTAGGTGTCAGTAATATCAAAAAATGTTACTTGAACTCTGTCTTAACGCAACCGAACAAAACATCAGTGTCAATATCAAAAGTACTACATAATAACTTATATAACTTGGTCACAATTTATTGCACGCAGGCTATATTTTGTGCATCTTTAATATTGTTGACACCGATGTTTGGTTCGGTTGCGTCAAGACATAGCCTACCACTTTACTCGGTTTGTTGATTTGTTCGCCTCGCCGAGTTCCCCTAACATTTCTTGTAATTACTGACACCTATTTATTGTATTTATTTTACCTGTTTATACCTGTTTTATTATTGACTACCGATAATGAAAGAAAAAAATATTGTTCATATCGCTTCACCTCTGTCACGACCATTCATACGGACTGTATACCTCAGCCTTAATGTAGTAATTGTAAATTATAAAATTATAAATAAATTTATAAATATTTGTCTTGTGCGCACAAGTTATTATTTGGAATTGGAAGGAATCGATTAGCTGCGTATAGCTGTCATATGTTATGTATAATTGTAATTGTATTTACTCCTTCCAGTAATATTAATTACAAGGCTGTTGTATCTTACTGTACCCTAAATGCCAGGTCTAGCAAACGTAGTACGGCGTCCTGAAATAAACCTCTTATAACATATGACAGCTATACGCAGCTAATCTATTCCTTCCAATTCCAAATAATAACTTGTGCGCACAAGACAAATATTTATAAATTTATTTATAATTTTATAAATATTTTTTATTTTTCAGTAGACAGTCAGTCTTAGCTTAAGTAACCAATTTAAAGCTAAATTTGGAGAAAAAAAATCACCGGTCGAATGCTACCGTTGTTGCTTGTTCTACCCACTTTTTTCTTACGACAAAGCTAAACACCCTCCCACTGACAAATCCAGGCTGTGCGTGGAGTCATGTGATATCTGGTGCTGCCTCCATGGCGTAAGTTTGCAAACGTCATGTCCGGATTTACGTGTTTCCGTCCCTGTAGTGGAGATCCTCCTGGTGGAGAACTGCAGCCAGATGCTCTTGTACACATTTACATGTACGTATGTGACCTTTTAAATAGTCTGTATAGGGTTTGCAAACTACCCCAACTCCTTTTCGGTAGCTAATATTTTAGGTTTATAATAAAATAACATTGATTTCCCTGTAAGATTTCTTTAGTGAGAGTCAGAAAGCCTATCACGCCAGATGCATGAGAGTTGGCAACCCTGCCATACGCATACCAGAAAATATATAACGGTATAAAAAGCGCCAAAATATGTATTTAGAGTCCAATGTATTTGGCCTCCTCATTCAGTTTTCCATTCAGTTTTAAACAGTCACCAGTTCGCAAACAAATGAACAAACAATAAAGGATCAAACTAATAAAAAAACATATACGGCCAATACCCCCCTCCCTCTGTTCACGCTGGGCCACTAAGCTGCAGCCTAGTCTACCATGTTCATTAATCCGCCCCTAAACTTGAGAACCGTTATTTTTATAGCTGTGTCCAAATAGGCTTTTTGCTTTTTATTGTTGTGCCCCGCGGACAGGCCCTAGAACGCTCATTAGTAAAAAGCAACAATACACCTTATAGCAGCCTAACGAAACATTACATTATATGCATTAATACACTATTACAATATTATATTATAGATAACTAATAAATATGCCTACAATATATGGTTTAATTTACGTGGACCGTTTTGTAATGAAATATATTTAACACTTACATAGAAAGTAATATGAACGCGTTACGTTTTTACAACCAAATAACGGAAACGCGAAAGTCGACAGTATGTCTAATATTATTTGATATAAGTATAATTGTATAAATTTTAATATAATTTCTCTGGATCTGTGCAATATTCGTGTCATAGCCCACAAACAGGACCGATATATAATGTCCGCTGAGGAAAGGGGGGCAATTTATTGTGTTGCACATTACCCATGATCCTTTGCTGTAAGGTTACCGGATGACCCGGAGATGCATCCTGTCGCGCAAGTTAGCCATTTACGCGTAGTAGGAATTAACTAGGGAGACGCATACCGTTTCGTTTTTTTAGCCATACAGTTTTAAATACCAAATTATTTTATAGTTGGTTTGTCTTGATTTTATGGGCAATGGGTGTTCCGGCATTTTTTCGCTGGTTGAGTCGGAAATATTGTTCCATTATTGTGCATTGTATGGAAGAAAAGGTGGGTGCTCGCGTGTGTTTGCTTGTAAACATTTAAAGCGTGGAGGCCTCTCGCCGAGCTGATCATTTGGGTTGTTATTTTATAGAAAAAACGTTTTATAATAAGTCCTCTGCCAGTTTTGCTGTGCTGTGTCTTATCCTAAGTGAACTTTTGGTCGGAGTTGCTCGTATTACCGTGTGTAATTAAGTCGTTACTTTTTGCATTTGTAGTGGATATTTATGTTTACCTGTAATACATGGTCAATGTTAGAAAAGTATTAGCCATCTAGATACTAGGTCGGTCAGACTTTTACTGTAGGTGACGATAAAGTTAGTTTTATTCCCATGTGCCATTTATTTTCTCCGTACGCTTTGTTATTGTCTTAGACAATTTAATTGATGCATATCCACGCATATTAATCACGGACTTGTGCTAGGTATGGGATGTGCTATGTTTGGATTTGTATTTTTCCCGCAATGGGCTCTACTCGTTTGGCGCGTCCTAATGACTTTCTTCCCGAAAGGCAAAGGAGTGCAATGGAGTTCGCATACCTGTTGATACAAGCAAACCCAATCCAAACGAAGTCGAGTTTGACAACTTGTACTTGGACATGAATGGAATAATTCACCCCTGCACACATCCAGAGGACAAGTGCGTAACTAAACGCCTATACGGAGTGTTATTCCTGAAATCACAGAAATGCAGAAAAGCATGGTGGTGTTCTGTGTTTCCACAGGCCCGCGCCCAAAAACGAGGATGAAATGATGGTCGCCATTTTTGAATACATCGATCGTTTGTTCAACATCGTCCGCCCTAGAAGAGTGTTATATATGGCTATTGATGGAGTTGTAAGTTTGCCTCTATGAAAACAAATGCCATGATCTTACCTCAAACTTAACTTCTGATCTTTTTCTTGTAATTTAACGGTGAGGCATCAACTGTTCTGTGTGTCCGAAGCAATGTATATTATTCTGGCAATCGGCATTAAAAGACAAGGTCTTTTGCAGGTTGTAGCTAATTTAGCAGACTAGATTTTAATCACATTTATATGGTATATGGGCCAAATTAATTTGTGTTGAATAAATTGAATAACAGCAAGAGGAATTGATTTTCTTCCCAAAAAACAGACCATCCGATTTATGTATTTTGATGGATGTACTTGGTGCAACGACTACAGTGGTGATTGTTTGAATGTAAATACAGGTTCTCAGTTTTGTAGATTTAAAATTATCACATTGATTAAATTTATATGTGCAGACAGTCCCATTTGAGTGAAAGATCAACCATGTTAGAAATGAAGTTTTACATGATTTAGGCTGATCCTTTTCTGATTCAGCCTCTAGCTGTCTGCTGTGAGCAGTCATTCTGCCCACAAGCAACAATTATATAATTTTGCACATTTTTGTCATGTTCCCCCTCATTGACTGACCACTTGCATTTTTAAGATGTTAACAATCTAAAATGCAGCAGTGAAAATCAGGAGCTGTCCAGTAATTCTAGTGCTGATAATCCCCCAACTTCCCACATGCCAAATGATTTGTTCTAGTTTGATCTTAAATGCCTGTGAAGTGGCCTTAATGAAATAGTTTTGTTTGCTTTGAAGGACCCACTGAACAGCCCAGATGACTCATTCAAGGGTTTTTGTTCTCTCAAAATTGAAATATTTTTTTGTCCTGATTTGGATGTGATGTTCCTGTACCATCTTTCAGTGCATGTTGTGTAGGTGTGACCTCTGCAATTCTCTGTCCAGGCCCCACGTGCCAAAATGAACCAGCAAAGATCGAGGAGGTTCCGTGCCTCAAAGGAGGGGGTTGAGTTGCAGGAGGAGAAACAGAAGATCAGGGAAGAGATCTTCCAGAGAGGTGCTACTGATGGGAAACACTCTTAAAGCCACCCTTCTGCCACTCGGACTGTGCTGTCTTTGAAGACAGAACTTCTCTCATTTCTTTGTTGGATTAAGCAGAAGCCTGGATGGTTACTAGTCTTGATTAAACTTTTTTTATTAGTCAAAGTATCGTGCACTGTGAATTACACTTGTCATTTGATATAGGTGGATATCTCCCAAATGAAGAAATTAAAGAGCGTTTTGACAGCAACTGCATCACTCCAGTAAGCAGTTTAACACCACTGATACTTAACTATTTTGGCGTGAACCATGCAAAGATGTTTAGGTTTTCTTTGGGGGTTTTCTTCTAGAAATGCCTGTGATTGATTATGTATGATAAGGGTCCGACATTCAGTTCAGACCAGGCCTGCTTATGTAACTGTTGTTTCATTTTAGGGCACTGAGTTTATGGACAACCTCGCGAAGTGCCTCCGCTATTATGTCGCCGACAGGCTGAGCAATGACCCTGGGTGGCGTAACTTGACGGTATGTAGGGCAGCGCAACCTAACAACGATTTCCTCTTTTTACATGGTCTGAACAGTCATGTGCTGCATGACAATGTTTTGGTCAATGATGGGCCGCATGTATGACGGTTGTCCCATTAGATTGGAGAGTTGAAAAATTCCTATTACCTAGTGACATCATAAAGCAACAGATGACTCGTGTGTTTATGGTGATGCTGTTGTAAACCTACTGCACTGCCAGCCATATAAAAAGTATAGCAGAACTATTTACAGTACATAAACCAATAACTTATCAAGTATTATGTATTTTATATGCTATACTTTTTAAATCTTTATTTTACAGTGTTCTCTTTCTACTTTAGTAAACTTCAGTAAAACTTTAGTAAAAAAGTTTACTGTACCTTAGGTGAGTAGTATGTTGTACCATCTAGGATTGTGTACCCTCTGTGTACACTGATGCTTGCATGATGACGAAATTGCCTAATGGCATTTCACTCATATATACACATGACTATATATATGTGCTGGTTTCATTCCTTTTTCTGTTCAGCTGATGCATACTTTGCACACAGGTCGTCTTGTCAGATGCCAGTGCTCCAGGGGAAGGGGAGCACAAGATTATGGATTATATACGGAGACAAAGAGGTAAGTTGAAGGTTTTTCATACACAGTTGTGCAGTGCTGGCTGTATGAGTTATCTGTTAATCATCCAAGTTCTTGTGTACCTCTGCATGCTATGAGGGGCTTTGTGAAGGATGCCTAACGGTTGTTGATTAATATCTCTCTCGTTTTTGTCACAGCGCAGCCCAATCATGACCCAAACACTCACCACTGTCTCTGTGGTGCCGACGGTATGTTTTAGCCTTAGGGGTCACTTTGTGTATGGTGGTTGGGAACAGTAAATCTTTAGCAGGCCTGTTCAGATCTGTTTTAGAGGAACTTAGAGACAGCAAGACGTCATTGTTGATGTGGTGTGTTAGGTAATGAAGTGCTTTTAAGATGAACTGCAGCTTGGATGGTATTACTGAGAAAAAGCTCTAGAATGATCTGTGTGGTGGTACAGTAGCTTACAGCTATGCCCCCCCCCCCCCCCCATGCAGCTGATCTGATCATGCTGGGCCTGGCCACACATGAGCCCAACTTCACCATCATCAGGGAGGAGTTCAAACCCAACAAGCCAAGGCCCTGTGCCCTGTGTGGGCAGATGGGTCACGAGCTCAAGGACTGTCAGGGAGTGGCTCGTGAGAAGAAGGGGGAGGTGTGCGACTGAAACGCTAAAGCTCCGCCCAGAACATCCTGCCAGCCATGCATGCTGACACATTGTCCTCTTTCTCAGTTCGACCAGTTTGCGGACAGCCCTCCTGTCTCCGAACAGGAGTTCATCTTCATCCGGCTCTCCGTCTTGAGAGAGGTAGGTGTTTCATGAAAGCTAATTTACTGTTACATTTAAATGTTAATTGATTTGTCGTAAATCAGTACTCCCTTTATGTTGTTAACCTGGTGTGTCAGTTCTAACTGGCCTTACACTACTGATTCCAGTGACTCCTTGGCTTGCCTTGCACCTCCTCCCTGTGTTCCCTCACTGGAAAACTCTTGCTTTCTTCCCACTGCAGTATCTGGAGAAGGAGCTGACGATGGCCAGCCTGCCTTTCCCCTTTAACTTTGAAAGGAGCGTGGATGACTGGGTTTTCATGTGTTTCTTTGTCGGAAATGACTTCCTACCCCACCTGCCATCCTTGGAAATCAGGTAGGTTGGTTTGCGCTTGTCCCTCCTGTATGGTCCATCTGAGAATGTCCTTGACACTGAAATAAGCAGATTTGTTTGAATATCTGCCTGTAGGGAGGGGGCCATTGACCGACTAGTGGGCATCTACAAAGATGTTGTGCACAGGACAGGGGTGAGTGTTTTGCGGACTGCTCCTTTGCCCCCCTGCACTGGCTGCGATTTCGTGTTTCCATTAGACGCTCGACCGGTAGGCTCCACCTTATCTGGAGCTGATCCTGAGAAGCTCATCCTTCTGCCTCACAGGGGTACCTCACAGAGAACGGCTTCGTCAACCTGGAGCGGGTTGAGATGATCATGCAGGCAGTTGGTGTGGCAGAGGACAACATCTTTAAGAAGCGCAAGGAGGATGACGTATGATACTTGGATTGTTTACCTTGTTGCAGCTTTTTGATGAAGACAGTGTCTGTGTTTATAGATGAACATCTGTATTTGAAGTTCATTCATATGCTGAGTTGACGCCATCTTTGGGTGATTCGCATACACGACTTGGCTTCCTGGAAGCCTTTTTTAAGTTGGAACAGAAGATAAGTCTTCTGTTTTCACACAACTTGTCAGATCTGGCACATGATAAAAATCAAAGCATAATTAGATATCATGCCATACGCTGATTAGTGTTCTTGCCCTAGGAACGTAAGATCTTTTGGAACCATTTTGACTCTACTGGGGTTCATTTCTTTCATAGGAAGCGTTTAAGAGGAGAATGAAGGAAAAGAAAAAGAGGTTAAAAGTAAGTGAAATGAGCCTGTTCTCCCTGTATTGGTGGGAATCCTAATGCTAGCTGGCGGCTAATGCTGGTGAATGTACCGGTTCTGCAATCAGCCTCTGTAAGGAAGCAGTTCTGTTCCCCTTTTGAATCTGTGGGAGGTTCACTGGCTGGATAAAGGTGTCACCTGCTTACCGTTTTCTTCCCCCAGGCGGAGCAGGCCCCTGCCTTCCTGCCCACAGGGCAGTTCGCCCCTGAGGCCCTGGGCAGGAGAGGAGCCCCGCAGCCCATCCATAATGCCAGGCATACCGCCTTTGAGATGAGGATGCAGGGGCAAGACCAGCGCAACAAGGTGTTGGGCAGTAGCCATGATTTTTTTCATTAGTCCACATTTTGATCTTTCCTTCTGCCTATTGGAAAATCATATCCTTTTCTGATACCCCTTTCATTTCATCAACAGGATGCTGCCCAGTCCTTGAAAGCCCTGATGAGGAACGGCAATCAGGCAAGTCTAATTTTGCCACAAGTTCTGTCTTCAAAAAAATGAAACAACCACGTTTAGCTTTTATATGTACTCTCGCACTTGTAAATGTACACTACATTATGGTTTCTATAACAACCAGGCTTGCTGTGTGCTGCTGTTCCTCTGGCAATTTTAAAGTCTGATTGGGTTCTTCATGCTCGTATTGCTTGCAGACAAATTTTTGCCGCATGGGTCGGGGATCAATGCATCCACAAGCTCTTATTGACTCGTGGCCCCAAACCATTTTTCCTGGTTATGTGTCTGTTAAGCAGAGATTTTATATTCTTATCAATTGATACCCTGCCTGCTGAGTTGTGTTCAGTGTTTCTGGTGGCCAGTTTCTTCTATTTTATTTATTTATTTTTTTATTTATTTATTTATTGGGACCTGTTACTTGGGCTTTGATTTTGAGCATCTGGAAGCTGAATGAGTTGTGTGGCAGGAGGACGACTGCATCTAATTTCTGAGAGAGCGTCTCTTGTATGTGGTCGGGTCGTCTTGAGCGTCTGTGGATCCTCTTAAGGAGTATTAAAGCAGGGATTTTGATGTTAAGCAAGACGTCATGTCCATATGTGGGTGATGGAGGGTCTGTAGTGTTTGTAGAGGTGTCACAATTCTCCAAATTCACGGTTTGGTTTTGATCTTGATTTTTGAGCCTCTGTTCGGTTCATACCCTTTTTTTTTAATTTGGGCAAGGGTGGATGAATAAGAAACAGGGAAAATTTCTGGGTTTTATTAATCACCCTTGATCTGGAACACTAAAGAGAAGAATACTAGCGATCATGTTAGATTAACTTTGCATAAAATAACTACATAAACAAAAATAAATATGGACATCAAGGTTCCATCTTTCAGAGCCGCAGCGCGAGATTGTGAACATCAGCATTGCGGTTTTGGTCTCAGTTTCAGAACCGTTTAACCACTAAGTGTTGACCTTCGCCTTTGTCCCCCCTGTGCTGCTAGCCCCCCCCCCTCCACCTTAGGCTGTGCTGAGCACCCTAGTTTTTTTTTTTTATCGATAGAAATAACATTTCATTAATTAGCATGGTAGTATTAGTGGTAGGCAATATAGTGATAAATTATCATGACCAGCTGCAATTGTATCCGCAACCAGCGTTTCAGAGGTAACGCAAAAATCGCAATATAGCACTGCTTAACACTATTTTTATAATGACACAACAAACTGCATTCTCAGAGGCTGCAACAGTATTGCCACAAAAACAGACCAATGATGCCAAACAACGCAATTACAGCCTACACAACATCTCATCTTTGTCTCTAAATCTCACTCCTTTCTCAGTTATCTCTTTGTGGATCTCATCTTGGTGACTTTTTTAACCAGGCTAAGTTCACTCATACTCCATTTGCGGTGTAAATTTTTAAATGTGCGGCAATTTCTTGTCATAGTGGTGCACATGCCTACACTATGCGCTTGTGCTATTACAAAAAGAAATTGCTTTATGGCGAACGCCTGCTTGTGTACCGTTGTCAGGCCCTGATTATAGTTCTGCAAGCAGTGTCCCTGTAAGTATAGAATTGTTGGTTAAGTGGTTAATTACCATTACTACATGTATTTTAGTTTGGTTGGTTTGTAAACAATCTCACTTGGTGGCTGATCATGATATATCTGAAATTTTGTCTGTTTTGTTAGTCCTTTGCTTAGACGTTCATCCTCTTAGCTGCTGTGGAATCAACATTTTGAAGGAGGCCTGTTTCTTTTCAGAGCTACCAGCTCATAGTGTGTGTGTGCGCGTGTGTGCGCGTGTGTGCGCGCGTGTTTGCGTGTGTGCGCGTGTGTGTGCGTGTGTGTGCGTGTGTGTGTGTGTGTGTGTGCGCGCACGCACGCACGCACGCGCACACTGAGCATATAGGGCATGCTCTCCTCCCCTGTTGACTCTGTGAGCTCACAGTCCCACTGTCTGCAGGCTCTCGCTGGCTCCAGTGTTGGCATGGACCCCAGGGGTCAGAAGAGAAAGGCGGAAGACAGTGACAGCGAGCCTGAGCCAGAGGACAACGTCAGGTAGGGTGCCAGGGCGAATTGAGCAGAGGGCAGGCTGTGAGTGAGATGGGAGGGGTCTCTGCCCTCCTCTGTTTAGTTTTGATTGATTTGAAAGGATGGGGTGTTCCATACTTCCTGAGAGAGTGTGTCTGCAGGGCCGTAAAATTCAAGGAAGGCAATTAGTATTCATGCAGGCTTTCCTGTTAGGCTCTGCTTTCCTGGGGGGATTGTGCCGGGGATTAGGTGCACAGGAGCTGTTCATCTCTGATTATGTGAATGGAATACAGGCACCTAGCCTGAGCACAGTGACAGGCCTCAGTTTGTCAGTCACTGTGTCTGTTCATGTCCTTGTGGCCTAAATGGCAGGATGGGTAGGTGGCTATGTGCTGCCAGGGGTCTGAATGGGTGGGGTCTCAGGAGGATATGCAAAGACAAAAAAATAATTTTGTTTTATGTATTTTTACTTTTATATTTTCTACTAATCATTTTTATATGAATATTTTTGGGTTGTGGAACGAATCATCTGAGTTTCCATTATTTCTAATGGGAAAATTTGCTTTGATATACGAGGGCTTTGGATTACAAGCACGTTTCTGGAACGAATTATGCTTGCAAACCAAGGTACCACTGTAATTCTCTTTATTTGAAAATTTTCACAATTGCCAGCAGTTCAGACAAAAGGATTCTGAGTGTCTCTTCAGTGTGTTAATTCAGAAATGCCACTTTACTTGTGAAGAGTTTATGAACTGCATTAGCACAGTACAAAATTGAAGTTCTTTAGTTTTAGTCTAGAGTTTGTGTTGCCTCCACTATATTTATGCTCCGTAAGGCAAGTTTTACAACATGGGACCCACCTTTTGTAAAGACCCTAAAGTATTTCCATGCTTTGGACGTGCACTTAGCAGGGGCATTTTGCAAATATTTTTCCTAGACTACATGGTTACAATGACAACTGTGCATCATGAGTGAGTGCATTATCTATATCCAGTTGATCAGGTAAGTTTTGAATAATGCTACCATTCTTGATTTTTAATTTAAGATTTGGCGGTTTAAAATTCAAATGTGTCCACCAAAGCAAATTCCTTGTATGTGTGAACATACTTGGCAATAAACTCTTCTGATTCTGATTACCTTTTTTGACAGTAGAAATGCCCTTTGAAGAGTTACCATTTTTGAACAATTGATAGTGATATCCGGAATACATAAAATAATTCTATTACTGTATAATAACTATCAGAGAATTCTCAAATTTCTTGTATAGCAATTAGGATCAAATTCTTAATAGTATTTACATTTTTATTTAGATAAAACTTGCCAAAAAAATAATTGATCTGTTTATGAAATAGTTTGAGATTTAATGATTAATCTTATATAGCAATTTTGTGTTATTAAATTAAATACAAACTCGCAGACATGCGTCTTGCTTACTTTTGGTTTCATACTTGATGTATTTGGGATAAGAACACCTTTATCAAGGTGTTTTGTGAAAATTTTGTGAATGATGAATAGATAAATTATAAATAAATGAACCCTGAGATATATGGGTGGTAAATATTTGCGCGCAAATTTAAGCATGATTCACAAACTCCCAAGAGTTTGTATGTTCATTACAGCCCTACTGCCTTTGTGGCGTTCTGATAGCCGCCATCCCTCCACGACACCTTTCCACATCACCCTATGGCATCTGAATGAAAGTATTCATGTTTGCCTTTTTAATATGGTGACTGAGTTCAGACTGACAGACAAGTCTGGCCAGATGTGTATATTTCAGTGTTGCCCCCCAGTTATATTTGCATCATGGCAGTAGTGGTCTGAACGTTGTCTTCCTTAGTTGTCTTTCAGAGACTTTGATAGACTGGTCAGTGCTTTTTTTTCTCCATGACTCGATCATGGTAACCCATTGTATATTGGAACTGGTGACGTAGGTTGCAATTGGTTCAAAATTCAGTAGTGAGGCTTTTTAATGAGGACGAGAAACAGCACATCACTCCCATCCTGGCCTCCATTCATTGGCTTCCTGTTAGTTACAGCATTTCAAGATTTTGTTTTCAAAGCTTTCAAAGATCCTTAAGGTCAGCTGGTAAATAACTTTGTTTTTAAATGTGTTCATGGAACAAATAAAAGGGGGGATCAGGCCTTTTCTGAGCTCGGGACCAAACTTTGGAAGTGTCTCCCTCTGTCTGTTGGGTTGTCTTCCTCAATAGATGGTTTTCAATCAAAGATTGAAATGCCTCATTCATTAAAATACACTGGGTTGCTTGTAGTACATCTAATCAGTTTTACTTTTTATACTAATTATTTGTGTATTTACTTTGTATCTGAAATGGATTAAAATAAAATCTTTTTTCCTTTGAAATTGTACCACACTGTTTTTAAATGTGCTGTGTAAATAGATACTGACTCAACTGACATTTCTTTTTCTTTTTTTTTTATTGCCCACCACCACTGACATTTCTTGAGCCGTCAAATCCATTGGATTGTGTCATGTTCCCAGAAGTTCTGTCTGCATGCTTCTCATTTGCTTCTGAACTGATGGTCGTTCTTGAACCTTAAGATTGTGGGAAGATGGCTGGAAGCAGCGCTACTACAAAACCAAGTTTGATGTGGATGTCGGCGACGATGCCTTCCGACGCAAGGTGGTCAAGTCCTACGTGGAGGGCCTCTGCTGGGTCCTCAGGTACTACTATCAGGTACATGAACTTGCCAAGGATCGCGCTTTGAGGTTGTCTTTTAAAATGCCTGTTATAAAGTGTCTGAGGTTTACTCTGAAGAATAAATTATGGTCGTGGCATGGGTGATTGAAGGTCTGTCTCATGTACACGCATTAGCTGAAGAGATGTGGACCCATCATAGTCAGACCGATTGCTGCTCAGATTCGGAGGGCTTGGGTTACCTTCTGTCATCACATTGTCATTTTCCAGAAAAATTGCTTGGAGGCTCCTTATCGTCAGGCATGTCTTACATGAGTGCGTGACGTCTTGATCTGTGACTGAATTCGCTAATCAGGCCTCCTGGCTCTTCAGCCGTTCCTTCATTAGCTGCAATCAGGGCTGTATGGATGGTGCTTTAAGCTCATGGCCAGGAGACCTAGGATGATACCATAGTTTGTTAGATTGAACAGCCCCCCAGTTGATTTCTGCATCTTGTTGCTGCATCTTTGATCTTCATGTTAGGTGCCTCCTGTAGCGTTGAACAGTGCTTGTTTGAATGGGCAGGAGGAGGTTTTGCCAATTAGATTTATATTTTGGGTAATTGAGAATAGATTCAAAGTGTAATTCTGACTAGTTTGTTTCATATTGACACTGCAAGGTCTTTTGTCATTCTGTGGCCTTGCAGCACAGAGCCAGAGGCTGTCATTTCAATTAAGTGTCTGCTAGGATGAGATTTTTCAAGACCGTGGAGGGAGATTATGGAACTTAATGGTAATTATGTACAGTCGTGCTCTGAAAGTCAAGCATTCTGCCAAGGGGATTGGAAACGCATCCGCTGGCATGAATGGGGAGATGCTAATGCAGGAGTGGCTCCACTTTGGGACCACAGGCAGTGGGTCGGAGCATGTCTGTACAAAGGCTGATCCAATTTTACACTGTACTCTCTTCGGATAGACTACATTCTGTACATTTAATTCTATGAAATGTCATGTTTTAATTAACATTTTAATTTTATGTGTCAGTCAGGGGTGCTGAGTTACAGGGCTGTCAGCCACCAGCACTGGGGGTTTTGGGAGCACTGGGCGTTCCTATCGGTGCCCATGGTTCTAGAGGGCAGGGTCAGTAACGGGTAGGGGGTGTAAATTGTAAGCCTTGCCACTTTGCGATTCGAATTCTGGCAGTGTTCAAAATGTTACTGTGATGCATATTCAATATTTACAATACAGTGGGAAAAGAAGCTGATTTTCAATGCTGTTTGGATTAAACAAATTAAATATTTCATTTTATTAGCCGAATGTTCAGGAAAATGATACAAAGTGCTTTAAAGATGTCAGGCAAGAAACCTCAATCACAAACATGGCTGCACAAGAAACATTGTCATGTATTTGTACTTCAGCAACAAAAACAATTTCTGGACATATCGCTTACTCTGAAAATGTACATGAAATATACTGTATTGTGTTGGTCTCTACAAAGGTTAGTCTATAGATTGAGATTTTTTTCACAGATTTTTCTGCCAGTGTTTCTGCATATTGTTAATGATATCAAGCTACTTATTGAGTCAGTTAATTCATATCATAGCCTTAACAATCGATACATCAATCAGAGGCAGAGTTGTGCACTCATGAGGCAGACTGGCCATGGTACACCTTCAAGTGGTTCTCTGTTTTTAGTTTGTCATACTTCATTAGCCACTAGGGGGCATGTGGCTGCAGAAAGCGGTCCGTGTTATATCAGCATTATATGGCCAACTAAAGGCATTAATATTATGTTGGCTCAGTTTAATATAATAGCTTCTGTTCTACGAAGGCCTTCCATTAAATAGTATGACATTGCTGGGGAGATTTGCTGCTCTTCAGGTTGGGCATTGAGTTAGGCTGCACAATCATTTCAGTATCGTCATTGCGATCTGCAAGTGAGCTATATTAATTCTCAGCACTGCTTTGTCTGATACAACTCTTAACACCACCAGCTTAAGTGACACTCTTAACTAGGGATGCTCCGATCGATCGGCTGAAGATCGGTATCGGGGCGATAATCACATTTTATGACTCGATCGGTACTAGTTAAACTTGGCCGATCTTAGGAACCGATCACAGTTGATGCGTGAGAACGTACACGATGAACGTAAATGTTTTGGCGCCGCAGTCATGTCATTGCCGGTGTGGAATTACTATGACGTTTCGAGAAACGATGAATGAGAAATCTCACGTGGAGGCGCATTGTCCAAAACATTTAATACAACGAACCTCATTCAGCACTTAAGAACGAGCCACCGCGAGTCCTATGGCAAATATGAAAAACTGGCAACTGCAAAAAAGGCAACGGTAACTAATAATGCAACTCACTCAGCCATCCATTACAGACATTCACTGTAGTACTGGACAATGATTAAATAAACATTGTGGGTTGCATCAGCCGGCTCCATTTTGTAAATTTTTGTCTCATTAAGTATCCTGATGTGCATAGTGTTATGCATAACCCCCCTTGCATATTAAAATGTTCACTATATAATAAATACTTTGTGATTATTTAGTACTCTGTTAAAACAAGTTACATTAGATATATTACTGTAAAAATATAACGAATATAACAAAGGCAACATTTATAGTATTTATCTGGAAAAAAAGTTAATGGTGATCAGAGAGCTTACATATCAGTTATATAAACTTGAAGCATCAGAATCGGCATTGGTATCGGCCGATCACCACGACAAAAAAAATCGGTACTTGGTATCGGTGCCAAAAATCCTGATCGGAGCATCCCTACTGTTAACTGCTTGAGGGGCACAAGTAACTAATGTAACAGTAAGTTACTACTCAAAAGTTACTTGCAGAAATTTCACATATCGCGATGTGATACAGTGTAGCCTTAATTTTGAGTGATTCTCTTTGTGAGTGTGTGTGGCCAGATATTTTACCACTTAACTTGCCCTAAGATGTTTCCACTTCACAATAACTTCACCAGGGCAGAAATTTGGCAATCTGACTCACTGGAGTGAAGGTGCCTAGCTGAAGGTCACTAACCTTCTGTATGAACACCCATTCTGCTGCCAGTGTTCGTTGACTGCATGGCTGCCCACTGAATTATTATCCTGTGTCAGCCATGGATGTGGCTCAATTAGCCAGTTTGTCTCTTAGGAGTGTCAATATACTTTTGCCATGTAGTTTACTAGATTATCGCTTAACAGTATGTTAATAATCATAATGGATATTTCAGGGCTGATGTGTAAATTATGTAGGGAGAAATGGTTGAATGGCACAATTTCTGTTTGATTACCCTGATGGATTCCTGTTTTAGTGCAGTCAATTTATTTAGTAAATACAGGCAGACGTATTAAACAGACTTGTTTGCCTAGCACTTGTGAAGATGAACAGCCCAATACTTTCTTCGGAGCCTACTGGCAAATGGAGGCAAATGATCATTTACACTGAAAATAAAGCAGGAGTTAAATGTGTGTTTATAGGTGTTTTTACCAATAATTTTAATGCCTGACTTCATCCCCACAGGGTTGTGCCTCCTGGAAGTGGTACTTTCCGTTTCATTATGCCCCATTTGCATCCGATTTCAAAGACCTCAAGGACATGTTTACTGATTTTGAGACTGGTACCCAGCCGGTGAGTGATGGCATCTAGGCCTGCCTTATCTGCCGGTTAGGCATGGTAAGTGTGCGGTAACTCCATCTCTTCTGCATAGTTCAAGCCATTGGAGCAGCTGATGAGTGTGTTTCCAGCTGCCAGTGGGAACTTCCTCCCCCAAACATGGCGCGCCCTCATGACTGACCCGGTAAGCGTCTATCCGTCCTCAAACAACCAGAGTCACGAGTTCGATTAATGCCCTAAAGGTAAGGGGCTGCCTGCTGCACCGAGAGCCCCTTTGTTCCCCTTAGACGTGTGTAGCTGTGGCTCAGCTGCCATTAGCCATATCTGGGGAGCTCAGTCTTAAATGCGGATCGCTTGTTTTACTTCACAGGACTCTTCCATCATTGACTTTTACCCAGAGGACTTTGCGATTGACCTAAATGGGAAAAAGTACGCTTGGCAGGGTGAGTGTTCAAAGCTTTCATAAGTAACAGAAATATGGACTCACTTTTCATGTGCCATAGGAGCAGAGTCTTACAATGCTGTAGCTGTTTGCATTCACTCATCCGCTGATCAGACGAGCAGGTCTGTGCTGTGGGCGATGGGATGCACACAGTATTCCCAGAGGCCTCACTGGCTTGCTTATCCCTTCGAAGGTGTGGCCCTCCTGCCATTTGTCGACGAGCGACGCTTGAGAGCGGCGCTGGAGGAAGTTTACCCAGACCTCACCCCTGAAGAGCGTAAGTTCGGCTGTGTCACACAAACACGTAGCTTCAGTTTGACCCGAACGGAAGGCTTTCCTTAGGTGTCCGTTTATCTGCCCGTTTAGCTTGGGAAGTGAAATGTAACATTTGAACCCTTTAAGTTCGCCTCCATGATTAAAGGTCACAACCAACTGCCTCTGAACTTCCTTGCTTCCAGGAAAGAGGAACAGCCTTGGAAGTGATGTGATGTTCGTAGGACGCTCCCACCCCCTCTGCGACTTCTTAATCGAGCTCTACCGTGCAGAATCAAAAGAGGTATGCAAACGGCCTCTCTACATGTATGTGGCGTCTCCCTCCTTTTGGGACTACCTCTCTGTTTACCTGTCTAAACACCTCTGACTCTAGGGCTCTGAGATTCCTCCTGAACTCTGCCATGGAGTCCAAGGTACATTAAACCTTGATGAAGAGCCTATACTACCAGATAAGTAAGGAACAGATGTTTACTGTACTTTTTAAAATTTGTAATCATTGAAATAAATTTTCTGCATAAACACATTCGAAAGGGTCTCTTTAAACAAAAAGAAATTGATGTCTTCCTCCCCAGACCAGTGGTATCTCCTGTTCCTGTCCTGCGAGATATTATGCAGAATAGTGCGATTGGGTAAGCATGGCTGCCATATCTTCTTAATAATAGCAACAAGTGTATAAGGAAATGCTTGCAGTAAATGTCATTTAATAAAGAATTCAGCGTCCTGGTGTATTTAGATGCGTTTGAGGTGAGTGTGTGTTTTCCCCTGCAGTTTGTGCATGCTTTTTTTCTATAGTGTTTTAAGATGTAATAATGTTGGTTTTAATGATTCTGTCATAGCATCTAAATGGGTGATCTGCTCTTTTCTCTTTAGGATAAAATTCAAAGATCCACAGTATAATGAGGGCTATGTGTTCAAGGCTGTGATCCTTCCAGGAGCCAAGTAAGTTTTTTGAACACACTTGCCTGACTCTTAGACCCTTAGGACTCTTAGACCCCGTGCTGCATTGTCCTGAAGAACAATCTTCCTGCTCTCAGAAGTTAATAGGGTTCCCGCGGGGTCTTAAAAAGTCTAAAATTCAGAAAGTTAAATTTAAGGCCTTAAAATGTCTTTAAAAATTCCCAGATTTTCATCGTAGGTCTTAAATTTAATTTACCCAAGTCTTAAAATTCTTACCTCCGTTCATTCCCAGGAAGCATTGTCCACATAAAGTAGTAAGACGCTGTAGAACTAATCCGTTGGTTGTGTTTTCTGGTCTGCACCGGTGTCTGCGTGGTGATAAAACTACAAATCTCATTGCGTGATCACTGCAGCTAGGCAAACAAACTGTTTGAGAAGGGTCTGGCTGCAGAAAGTGCACGCTCAGCCACAACAGGAAGTGCAGGGGAATCAAGCGCTAACTTAGTTCTTGAGGCCAATTTGAATGGTATGTTGTTTTATTATTTGTATTACTGAATGATATAGTTACAAGTTTATTTATTTCATGCCATACAGTATTGCAGTGTAAATGTTTTGATGTAGTGCGTTAGTAACTTTTTCCTTTGACTGGAGTGAATTTTTTCAGTTAACGTGAGCCAACTGGCTAGTAGCTGTATTATCATAAAATAAACACATTTCTACTTTTACAGAGTTTTTCATGGAGTTACCTTGTGAATGTCTTAGTTTCCAGCATGTTTTTAGTTGTTCTTGAGTAGAACGTTTCTCGGTCTCATTATGGTAAGGCAAGATAAGTTTTTATTATCATACACAGGGGTTATTTAATCAGGGGTTATTTAATGTGTTTGATAAAAACAAGATTTAAAACAGTTAAACCAAGACAAGAAAGCAAAATAGAAATGAAAAAAACTTATTTGAATAAAAATTGCTTAGAAAATCTAAAAAATCTGATTAAAAGTGCAGCATGCAGTATGTCCTGCCCCGCTCGACCGCTCCTCCTGTGTGCCACGCCCCCTCGGTAACCTCCCGTGGAAGTTTTCATTAGTCCAATATATTTAAGACCACGCCAAAGTATGTTTCCCCAGTCCTGTCATTGACGTCCGTCTTGCGTTTCTTCGATGTTCCTCTTTTCTCTCCTTTCTAATAAACCCTCGTTCACCCGATCTCACGGCGTCTTTGCTGCTTCTCCGCCGAAAGGCGTGACACTAAATGTACAGCTAAAAATCAGACAGTTAGAGGTTTTATATTATATCACAATGTTTTTATTGGTTTGTTTTTAGTTTTTTTAGGCTGGTATCTCTTATCTGGAAAAAAATAAACGTTTGATTCCTGATGTCATGTCCAATGTTCTTTTTTTTCCATCCAGCTTTTATTAAACACAGTTTGGTACCTCATGGCATATGTAAAGTGTATTACATATTACAGTTCTGATATATGATTATTAATAACCCAGAATTGCACTTTTTTTTTTTTTTTCCATTTTACTCTTTATTCACACACACACACATAAATACGGGGTGTATATAGTGATCCCCCGCCTATTGCGGAAGATGCGTTCCAGACCCATCAGCGATAGGTGAAAATCCACGATATAGAAATACCATATAAATAAACTTTTGTAGTTTGAGCCTTAAAATACCTCTCCCACATGCTTTAAACACGTGTAAACTTATTAAAACGCACTTTGTAAACACATATGATATGTGGATGTTTGACTACGGATGTGAATGATGTAAAATATGAGAAATTCTGGTATCATTCGAATGTTTCTAGTAATGCATCGTGTTGGTCTTAAATTTTACTCATACTGGTCTTAAAAGATCTTAAAAAGGTCTTAAATTTTACTTACTGAAACCTGCAAGAACCCTGAGTTAAATACTCCTCTGTCACAGCTGAAATGAAGTTCAGTCGAAGTGTTATTGTCTTACAACTATAAACAACTTTTTGATGCATTCAATCTTCTAAATCTGTCCCTTCCAGAATTCCTTCAAAAGTGCTTAAACCTGGGGACTGGGAAAACTCCAACAGGGGTCCTTGGAAACCCCAGCTGGGGTTCAATCCAAACCGACAGCAGGCCCATCTTGACCGGTCAGCCTTCCGTGCATTGAGGTTGGTGCCCCTGGTGGATGAGCATGGCTTGGGGAGGGCGTTGTGTACACTGGCTGCATCCTTTGCTACTGTCGGGAGAGTGTGCACACATACATGGCCTCTATAGTCATAGGCTGAATGAAGTGTCAGTCAAGTAGGGTTAATGGCCAATGCCGTTCTTGTTTTACAGTCACAGCATCAGCAGGCAGCAGCACAGAGATGGCCCGTACAGCAACGCCCCACCCCCTGGCAGCTATCACCAGGGTCAGCACCGCCCCCGACCCCATGGTGGCCACATTCCATCCTACCCCAGTGAGTCTGCAAGCCTCCCGTGGGTCTGTCTGTCACCTGAGGGCTGGCCTTTTGAGGTCATCTATCCCATACACTCTCTTTTTTTTTTTTAATGTTCAGTATGTTCAAGAATAATCCTGCAGGTTGATGGTGAAGTGAGCTGACTATTGCTCCTTGTCAGAATGCTGGGCGTCCTTGTGCAGGGCCACCCTTGAATGTTTGACGACCCTGTACTGTGAAATGGCTTTTCCATTGGCCTTCCGCCTGGCTGTGGGGGAGCTCTGAAATGTGGTTTATGAGACTTCAAGACTTTTTATTGTCATTGTACAGTTGCCTGGACAACGAAATTAGCTAGCAAGACCACAAAGATGCAAGAAAGTGTCAGTACAAGATATAAGAATAAGAAACACAGTATGTACAATGTATAGGTACAAGAGACATTGGGGGTATATGCAAGGGTGTCATAAATATAATAAGGGGGAAGGGCTTTCGTCATAGATAAGTGACACTATTGGGTAGGTTGGTAATTGCACGCTTGCCAAGATATTGCACAGAGCCATAGTCAGTAGCAGCAGTGAGTATGGAGTATGGACGAAAACTGCACAAACAAAGCGGCATCATGACCCATCGGAGGCAGCTGCCTCTGTTTCGCCTCCGGCCATTCCTCATGGCGGTCCCACCCCCATGTGACTTTGATGTGCCAGTTTGCAGTTGATGGGAGAAATCTCGCCTGATTTCTGAAGACTTGTGGGAGTCAAGTGCATTCTGGTGCCTCTTGATGCAAATTGGGCTTCCGGTCCCTGGGAACCAGCCGTGTACGGCGCTCGCTTCCATGCATACACTTGCTGATTTAAGTGCTTTTTCAAAAAAAAAAAAAAAAAGATTTGCCTATGATTGGACTCCAGATTGGACTCAGAGGAGCTGTAACATGAAGTTGGTTTTATTTGTGGCCTTATTTATGGAAAGTTCAGTAATGACCTTATCAAACATTCCTAAGTTCTGGCAACCACGTTTTTGATTACGAGATGTTCCCATAGTTCAATTGCTTAATCCTTTAAGGTACAAATCGCTGTTGACAGGTGAACATTATTCATTATTAAACTCTGCCAGTTAACAGGTGTCAGGATTTTCTAATATGCCTTGCTTGATACTCTGTAGGCTGCTTGGGTGTTGCACAGGAGAGGTGGTAGATCAGTCCTGTATCGCTACAAACCTCCATGTTTTATAGAGGGGGAAGTTTAGACTTTCTGCATGCACTCGCTCATTTCCCCTGTGCAGCCTCAGGCTCAGCCAATAACACGCCTCCGCACTGATCGGCGGGGGCCTTTGTTTAGGGAAATGCGGCACACTGTTCCCGCTGCTCCTGCATTAGAATATCGGCCATTCTTGTAGGGCGCCAGAGCTGTGTGTGATAATGAGCTTATCAAATGAGGATCGTGTGCTTTTTTTTTTTTTGTAAGCGGGATGGCCCCCTCGGTCTGCCCCCTCCCCCTCACCCAAAAAAAAATGGAGCTAAAATGAAGTTAACTTTGTCCTTCACTGGATGGCTCCCTCCTGGGGTGCATGTGAATGAGCCACTACAGGAACAAGCTGGGAAGCTGTGTGCACTAATTAAGGCAGCCCGACAGTACAGCTACTGTGAAGAACGCCTGCACTGGTGGCAGATGAACTTTTAAATTGCGGAGAATTTGTTTAATCACCATTTTGAATTTAACTTGAAACTGAAGTGAAAGGGGGTTGTTTGTAAATTAGCTTGCTTTTTATGATTCATTTGCTTTTCCATGCTAAAAAAAAGTGGTCGATTAGCCACATGGAGTCCTTTAAGACACCAACAAAATACTTAAGGGAAACAAGGGACTTGTGCCGTAATCCTACCTTTGTCCCTTTGTCACGCCACGGCGGGTACTATTGATCCGAATGGCCGTCCTCCGCCTGCCTGTCTGTGGTGACGTCCCCTTGAGCAATATCTAGAGACGGCAGCCATGGTCAGGGAGCAAGTGGGTGGTCTGTCTTCGCTCCTTTTGGCCCTTTTGCCGTCCTGCTGGGGCCCATCGGTGTGAGAGAGTATTACTAGTCATATTTGCTTAAACGCTTTGCCAATTAACTGTTCCACATTTGGGAGATCCATTCCCTTTCTGCTCAACTTTCTGTTGCCATACGGCCTTGAGGGTAATCTTGTTTGAGTAGCTTACTGTCTCAGTAGGGGGTGCTGCATCAGGTCTCCTCTGCCGACATCACCCTGGTCCTCCCAAAAAAATGAATCAATGGGATCTTGGCACGGCACCCCCACCCCATCAGTTATTAAATCAAATTTTGTTTACTAGTAAATGAAGTGAGGAGGCTTCTGGGTAATATTCCAAGCTTTGGGTTGCAGCATTCATCTCTAGACCACCTGTCTCATCCAGCTTTGATTTTTTTTTTCCTCTTCCGCGTCCACCCCCTCTCTTACATCCTGAAGTTCCTTTCTTTCCACTGCATGCCTGCCCCTCCCCCCACCCCAAACTCTCACCGTATTCATTTGAACTACTCTCCAGACTTGCCCCATAAACAAATAAGTCCGAGACTTGCAGCTGGCCATCCATCCCCTAGGCAACCACGCACTGGGAAGGACTCCTCTGCTGCTCCAAACATTCTGCTTTGTGAAGCTCTTCTCGCTCCTGCCTCTTGTATGAATATTCAGTTTTTGCCTGCATAAAGCGAAATCTGAAAATGTTTTTGTTTGATCGTGCTGACGATTTTCATTTTGACATTGATTCATTGTGCTTCTTTTCAACAGTTAGGCCCAGGTACTTTTAGAAGGTTTTTAATGGCAGGCAGTATAAAGAAGAGAGGCTTTGAAAATCCAGAATCTGACTTTTTTTTTTAATTTTGCTTTGCAATTGTGCTGAGACAGTATTTGTTGTACAGTTCCGTTATTCAACATGGGTTCAAGTCTTGTTTTTTTTTTTTTTTTTTTTACGATTATTACAAAATAAAGTCTCTTTGATTGGGAGGCGGCATTAAACCCAGTTCGAATGGGCAATTCAACCTCATGACAATTCTATGAAAGTTCTAGAATGAAACTGCAAAGTCCACCCTAACAGTGGGTTGTGATGGTGACAAAAGCCAGGATAAAACTTTGAGTGAATGTTCAGGAAGATTGATTGTTACCTGTGTTAAATAGGGAGGGATGTGGTGCCCCAGTACCGTGTATGTTTACTTTAATGATTCGTTTCGCCTTTACTCCCATTGTTAATTTCTCAGTTTTAAAATGTTATTCATGCATGATGATTCACGACAGTCTGATGGTCGAGGACCTAAACTCGTGTGAGTCAAAGTCATGCCCCATCTGGGCCGCCTCTCCCACACGCTGTTCTGCCGGCTTCCTTTCTCTGTGTTCTGTGCTGTATCCCTGAAGGCGTTTCATACCATGTAAGAACTGTGCTGTTTGGCCCAAGAGTGACAGTCCCTGTTTTTTTTTCTGTTTTGTCCTAGTAGACTCCAGGCAGTATGATGCCTATCGAGGTCCACATGCATCCTACAACCCTCCCCAGCCGTATGCACGGTAAGCTGTGTGTGTGTGTGTGTGTGTGTGTGGCTTTTGTTGTGTGGGTTGAGAGTTGTAGGACCTGTCCTCCTGTGTTGGTAAGTTGTTTTTTTTTTTTCTGTATCCACACGCAGCATGTTCTCTATTGTTTTCTTACACTGTTGAATAACGGTACACGTTGGGGGAGGGGTGCTGGGAGGGGCTCAGTCAGCGCTACATTTCGGGGCGAGCCAAACAGATTTCCCTGAAGGGAGTTCGCGGAGCTTAATGAGGCATCGCTAATAGTGTTCCGTCATTATGATCCCGAGCTGGCGCTGCCGCCGCATCAGCCCAGAGCCTCTATTGATTCCTGATTCAGTCCCTCTTGAAGTACAAATCAGCTTCTTTGGTTCAACTTTTCAGGCCTGACAGACCCATTGTCAGCTTGTCACCCTAGGTCAGTAGTTATTAGTGGCGACTGAAAACAGTTTCTTTAACTACTTATGACTGCACTGAATTAAATGTGCGCACAGCTCACAGGGGGGATTATGGAGTCCCTGGGGCTGCTTTGCAGGGATGTGACGTGGTTTTCTAATAAGGGATGGGGTGCCCCCCATCCCCCCTCCCTGAATAGAGTACATGGCTTCCTCCACCACATATTGCTGGAATGTCACCACTGGCTGGCTGGGAGCTTTGAGCACCCAGAAGTGTGTAAAGGGGGGTTGTTGTCTCCCCACCCTTTCTGGGTTGTTGCTTTAGTTTCTCTCCTTTGATGGACCTTCATAGCTATGGCAACCTGCCAGCCTGGTTTGGGACGCATACTCTCAGATGTCGAGATCATTCGCAATTTGTTTTTGGCTTAAAATCCGGAAAGCTCTGGGCAGACTGCTGATCTGTGGATGACAGCCCCCCCACCCCCCCCAGAGTCGCTTAACAAGACAGGGCGGGCAGGGGCCATGGTCGCAGTTATCAGAGAGGGAATGAACGTTCATGGCATGACCAGAGTGGGACGGGACTTTACACTGATTATAAACTCCTTCGAACCCTTAGTGGTTGAAAGCGCGCTTTTCTGCTGCTTGCTGAAAAGGGGGGAGGGAGGTATCCTGCTATCATTATTTCACATCAAGAGATTGGTGGAGAGCCGCTGCTTTAGGGTGTAACCAGGGAGGGGGGTCGCCAGAGACGCAGCCATACTAATTAGGTGACAGGTTGGGCTGTTCCTTATGGTCTTGAGCGGTTGTTCAATGCATCCAAACTACACCTTTAAACGAATTTGCTCCTCTCATTAAAATACTTTACGAAAATGTAAATTAGTTTATTCCTTTAAAGTTTGCCGAGGAAAGTTCCCCAGCCTGAAGGTCAAGGGCCTGGTGCAAAGGATTTATCTGTAACTCTTTAATCACCCTCACTGAAGAGTAACATTCCCATGGATCTGGGTACATGCTGAAAGATGTATTGATTATGATTTTTTTAAACCCCTTTCTTGCTGAGTTGCCTGGCTGTTACCTGCCCAGGGTTGAGGTCTTGATGGTCTCAGGTGTGAGAGGGGACTTTTCTTCAGCCATGTCGTACCGTCCCCCCCCCCCCCCCCCTCCCAGTTTGCAGTACAGCAACCCGGGCTGGAATCGGGCAGTGCAAGGCCAGGCAGCCGCCTACCAGCAGAACCAGCAGCGTGCCCACATAGCACAGCCCACCTACCAGCAGCCACAACAGCGCCCCCATCAGCAGCCACAGCGCCATGAAGGGCAGATGGGTGGCCAAGGGCCCCCACAGGTAATGTGTATTACCACTGTACTGGGCTTCATGTTTCGTGCGTGCATGCTTGTGTGTGTGTGTGTGTTCGTGTGTGTAAAACATTGAATCTGATGACTCATTCTTCAGGTGTTTTGTGAAATCTGATTTTCAGTTGGAAGATAAAACCTGATTTACATAAGCAGAATTAATCTGGTTGTATAAGGTAGTGCTGTAACCCCCCACCCCACCCCAGTACTGTAGTAGCTGTAGCACATTAACTGTATTGGGATCTGGGGTAATTTGAGTGACATAGCTACCCTTCCAGATTACACTGTGGGATTGCTGTCGGATAATCAGCATAGAGGCGCATTTGTGGCCACTGGGTTGTTTCATTATGGTTTTATTCCTACACTACTTCATTTGAGGTCTAACAGATTTCATCATGACAGCTAAGACTGGTCACCTTATTTATTTATTTTTTTAAGTGCAATTATGTGTTAGTAGTATGTGTATGAATAGCTTGTGGCTGCAGGTCCTCTATAATCCCTGCCTGCTGTCACTGCCATCCTGAACAGCTGTTCTCTGTTTGGGTTGCTCTAAATGTGCTACAAGACATTGTGTCCAGAGTAGTCTCCTGCCAGATTTATTAAACTGAAGGCTTTTTTTCCCCCGTTTCCTAAAGGGATACCTTTCTGGAAGGCATTATCCTTTGCCCCCGCCTTCAGGACGCTACAACTGGAACTAGTGGAACATCGTTTGAAACGATAGTCGTCGTGATCTTTTTCTACTTTTTTTTTTTTTTTTTAAGTTAAACTTGTCAGGTATTTTGTCCTTTTAATTGTACTAAGAAGCATTCTTACGATAAAATTTTAAGTAGTACACCTATAAACCTGTCAAATACAGATAAGTTTGGAAAAGTTCATGTGCTGGTCTGTGAATTGATGGGAGGGAATGTGAGGATTTCTCTTATACTGGTGTTGCTTCAAACGCAGGAGCTGACGTAACTCAGCAAGGCTACAAAGAACGTGTTTTCCTTTTTCTTCCTTGTTATTCATGAAATGTTATTCATGGTATATTAAATTGCTTAGATGCATCCTTTTGGGAAAATGAGTAACACCACCTCCCCAAGCCTAATTGTACAAAAAATTCCTGAGTCATCAAAACAGAAGACTGACACTATAAATGGCCCAATTTCTTAGTTTATCTAACAATTTTTGCTTCAACTACAATTTTGTGTTGAAACTGTCAGTTCTGTTTGGTAGGATGCAGAAATGTTTCTCCCTTAAATAACGACATAAACCACAATATATAGAATTGCATCGCTGTTTTCTCACCTTTACGTTTATCGACAGGCGTGAACGACCAAGGAATCGAAACTCAGATTTACAAAAGTTACCAAATTTAAAATTATATACCCAGTATAACTCATTTCAAAGTAACTGGTGGATGGAATTAATACTTGTATTTGGCCTATGCATTTAGATTTTAACCGAAGTGAAATCGTTAGTCAATTGTTCACTTTACGTTTGCTCGCGCCATTAAATATTAATGTTAGTTACTTAGTTTCGTAGTGGAAGCGATTATTTTCTCTTAAATGAACCAACACGAATCGTATAATAATCGGTGCGAATTTATTTCACAACCAAAACAAGGTTTTATTTTAATTAGGTTGGGGTGGGGACAGTCGTGCACTTTAAGTCTTTAATGTGGTTGATATTTAAAATCATTTACTAAATCAAATACGTTCAAGTACCATTGAAGCAAATGCTACAAAAACGGACTTCACCGTGAAACTGAAAAAATGAAGCGCTTACAAAAGACAAATAAGCTGTTAGTTGTTTAAAGAATGCGATCATTTTTTTTAAACAAATCAACATCAAAAGGAACTTAATAGGCAATTTTAAACCTACCTGCGTTTAAATTTCACAGAATGATTTTGCCCTGTATTTCATTTACATATTAAGATACCTTTATGGAGTCTGTAAATAATTAAAATGGTTCCCGCTCATTCAGCATGTTTAATGTATTTCGATATCAAGTTTAACCACGTCACTGAATACGCATTAAGGCCTGCGATTTGAAACCAGCTGAATGTTTAAAATTGCACGGATTACAAATAATTTGAACACAACAGTAATAAAATTAATTTCACGAAAGAATATTTCAAAATAGGCTACAGATAACGTATCGACTATTTAGTAAATTGTTCGATTCACAGTATCACTTTTTTAGGCTGTAGCACAGATATTTCTAACGCCCAACTCTTTTTAGGAATCGTTGTTTTGCCTGACCTTCAGATTTACAATAGCCGAGCTCTTTTTGTTTGTCATAAATTGATTAATCTTGACATCAATGTAGAGCTGGACTCTGAATTTCATTTCCTTTTGTGTTAAGTCTGAGTACAAACTAACAATATAAAGTTAACTATTCGGTAATTGAATATTTAATGTCCAGCTTATTCTTGCTGTACAGCAATCGTAATGTAATTTTGGAACACATTTCAGACTTCCTCAGGTCCAGATATCGCACAATGATTGTGAAATACCTGATATACAATACTGAGAAGTAGTGTTAGTCCGATATTTAAAAATGATCACCCTTCGTTATAAAAAGAAAATTTCCCCTTTACGTCCACCAATTTATAAAACATATCAAAGCTCCAAAAAATTAAATTGGCAACTATCAATCCCCGCGTATAAATCGTTGCCTTAAAAAGAAAACAAAAACCGGTGGATAAAACACGGAAATGGCTTCAGTTATTGTTCATGTGAGATCCATTTCTCGCTGTTTACTTCACTTTTGAACGCACACCGTCCATTCAATGTATCTCCTTGAGTACAAAAATACAAAAACAAAAAATGAGTATCCGCACTACCAAGTTCTCCCATAAAGGAGGTTTGAACTGACCATGTTATTCGCGTAATCTATTACAGATGCGTCTATTTGAGACATATTGCTCATCTGGCTGTGTAGCGACCGGGGGCTGGGTGACATGTCCTCGAGGTCTTGGGCCTGGGTTAGAGGGTTCATGTGTTGTCCATGCTGGTGATTCATCGAATTATCGGGAGCAGGAATGACTCCGCCGGTGGTATTTTGCTGCTGATGTTGCCCCCCTGTCGCCGCGCCGGACCCGTTTTGACATGGTTTGCCGTCTTTCACGAGCACCGGAACGGCCACCCGTCTCGGGGACTGCTGCTGCGGGCAGGTTCCGTTTTCTTGTTGCAGCTGCTGGGAGGCTTTGTCCTTGGCCTGTCGTTTCAATTTATATCTGTGGTTCTGAAACCAAATCTTGACCTGAGTTGGGGTAAGGTGGATCATGGTCGCCAGATGCTCCCTCTCGGGCGCCGAGAGGTATTTCTGCTGCTTAAATCTCCTTTCCAGTTCGTACACCTGGGCCTGGGAAAAGAGGACTCGTCGCTTTCTCCTGGGAGCCGCATGCAATGTAACCATAGATTTGCTAGCTTCCATTCCTGTCAAGGTCCCCATTCCGGTCATGTTGATACCTGTGGAAGGTCCCATGAATCTAGAAACTTAAAAATATACATACACACGCGTGCATTCAATCAACAATTGTTTCATGTTCTATTTCAGCCCGTTTAGCATTATAAAGGGGGAAAGCATTCCGCTATTTTTATGCGTTCCGAAATGTGAATCTTAACAGCACAATTATAAAATGTTACTTTATTTTACACTGGACAGTTTGTTTGTTCATTTAACTCGTATTGCTTCTATAGATACACACATTTTTTACATTAATTACCATCATACGTGCATAGATTATAGAAATATGAAATGGAGTCATATCTTACTTGTTGAATATCTTGGGTCGGTGTTTGCGTTGTACCAGCCCGCAGCGGCTGTGGCGCCGTTTCTCATAGTATCTTGATATGATGGGAGATCTCCCATATTCCCAATCGCACCATTGCAATATCCTCCCATGGCACCGTGAGAGAATTGGGAGACTCCGTGTGGCATGTGGTATGTAGTGGCCACGGCGGCGCTGTGGCCCATAGAGTGCTGTTGTATACCGGGCTGAGTGACCTGAGGTTGTCGATAAGGTCCAAGTGGAGAAGCGAGGTTTCCTGCGCAGTCCATGCCACCGAACTTCTTGTAAGTCTCCTCGATGGGGCTCAAAATGTCTGTCACTGAAAAAGGCGTTGTGTGTTTTGGGCTCAATGACATGGTTTAGCCCTCAGGTAAATCTGTGGAGCGCAGTTCAGCCTGTGCTGTTGTACCAGCCTCTTGGTCCACCCGAGATTCGATTGATTGCCTTGGAGAAGGAGGCGAGCCCTGGGTCCTCTTATCTCGGGTTTATAGTAGCCAGTGGCCAGGTTTACGACAAATACTGGGCGGAGCAAAACCTTAAGTGCAACGCTGCTCGCTTGAAATTTTACCAAGATGATTAGTGTAAATTTTGTTGCTTTCATATTAAGGAAGATAATTCTTCCACCAAAAATATTATATTCGACAAAAACACAAACATACAATAATGACATGAACACATTAATGAATCTTCTGTGATTATTTTGGATAATAGTTCGTCATATACACTGGTTGTTGGTTTAAAATATCTTTTAATATTTATTTAGCTTTATCCAGCTCTTTAAAATTCCCAGTATATTATCACAGATACTCTTAAATCTCCCTCTTGTTCAACATCCAAATTTATGCTCCTCGAGTGTTCTTTTGTACTAAAAGGGAGACACTTTCAAATAAGTGAAAAGGGTTAGGATACCTGCGGGGAAAGAAAGAAACTTTATGAGAGCAGAGATCGGGGCCGGGCTGGGCAATTACTTCGAAAACGAGCAATTCACATACAATTCCTCTGATTTTGATGGTCATTGTTATTATCAATATTATTATTTCATTATTTATTATAAACTTCATTTGAAGTTAGTTTACCTATATCAGTAAGTGTCACGTAATATGTATATATATAATATTACTGTGCATTTTGTAAGACTAACTCAATTTGGAAATGCATCGAATAAAGCTTTTGCTTTAAAACGTTATATTTCTGTGCGGTGATTTTGGCCTATAGCATGAATTTAATATACAAGGTATAGTTCCATGGACAGTTCTCCGTCCATGGACTATTGTTCTAAATGTACATGCTCTGTCTTTCCGTCCATTAGGCCTATTATAAATAGCAATCCTCTCCAACCCTTGTATTATCAATTTTTTTAATATGCAAATAGCGAGACCTCTCGTACCCAAAGACCTTTAAGTCACAGAGCATGCCTGTGGAATCCAGGACACCACGTTCGCAAAGTAAGGTTTGCGTATTGTGGTCCAAATCACCCGAACAGTGTTACTGTCTTAACTGGCAAGATAAATGCTTTGTATACGCGTTTAGGAGTCGTTTTATTACATGCAAACCGGAATACCTGAACCGGCCCGTTCTACAAACAAGCTACTGGGAAATAATGAGCATGCCATTATAGAAATGGGTTCCATTGAAGGTCAGTACAGATTCCAAGACATTGTCTTAAATGTTACGGCTTAATTATCGACAGGACTCTTTGTAATTCAGTGTTCATATTCTGAACATATCAGCGATTCTAAATTAGTTTAAGTGGTGAACCTCAGTCACTCACTCATTTGATCCTCATTTTTTGTGCAAGATATCTAAAATACAAGAATTTCCTAAGCATATGCATGTATTATGACGTCAGAATGTATGCGAAATACTTACAGGAGTATCAATGTACGATGTTCTAGTTCAGTATGGCCTTTTTTTACATCTGTGGGAGAACTGTAGCACTTCATAACTAAATTCCTTTCCAATTTTAATTATACTTTATAAATAAATTTGCTGTACTTTATTTTAAGCGTGTTACTGTTAAAGTAATTAATTTCGATATGTAAATCATAAAAGTATTGGAAAAATGGCCAAGCCTTGCTGTTCGTATACGTGTTGTCTTTAGTTTCTCACGTTGAACGACAAATGTAATTGTCTGTACAAGTGAACCTTCGTTACCAAAGATGCATGAACAAAGGTCGTGGAGTGTAAAATTAATTGCCGTTTACAATAATCGATAAAACAAGTACCTCATTATGAAGTTAATGTGTTGTCTGCAATAAGAATAAAATGGTAATGTCAAATAATGGTTATTTATTGTACAATTTAAGTATTTTGTGGCATCACAACAGAGGTTACCAAACTCTGGTGCAGTTTATGGAAACTCTAACACCGAAAATATCCTTGCAAATGCATTATACACATATTCGGCATTTATTTACTTTACACAATACATTTAAAACACTTGTAAATAAAATTAAACCGTAACTTTATACTTGTGACTGAAGGTCTTTTTCACAATAATGACCCCAGAGTCTTACAACAGATGTCAGAAAAAATCCGAGGTCAATGAAACACTTGAAACATCCCGCCATTTCTGCTTTAATAATGCGAGAGAGATTTTGAGAGGTCGTTGGAGGGCCGGCGTGCTTGGGAGTAAAAGCTGGGGTCTTGAACCGACTGGCATCTACCTCGTACACCATGGATGGAAGTAAACTAAATTATGTAGTTTTGCGCCGTGAATCAGTACTTGTGAAGAATGATCTAAATGATCGATTTTAACCATTGGGACTTTATATGGAAGATAAAAATCATGGATACTTCAACTAGAACAAAAATAAAATCCTTGGAATTTCGACAGTTGTAAGATATCTTTGGAATTGGATGTCCTTGAACAAATATGTGGGTGACCAATATTGCTGATGTTATAGCCTATGTTCATTTATTTGTTTTCTTCAGCGTGCAACTACTTGATTCTTACTTAACAAATGTACCCGCCAATTTTGGGATTAGCCTACCAGGCTTTCTTAAATCGCCTAGAAGAAAATATCTATGCAAATTATTGAACAATTAGGCCTAAAGGCATCGCAGAGTTTTCAGTAACTAAAGATGTTTGTGCAATTTCTAATTTCCTGCAGTGGAAGTCGTAGAAATCCGATTTCTAGAGTACATTTGTAAACCTAATATCAACACTTAATTTAAATGAAAAGAAAAACAAAAAACGGCAAGAAATAACAATTACTAGAAAAAAACAGCAATACTGAGGTCTGGCTTCTTAGATATTTTGTAGCATTTTTCTTGGCAAACCCATTAATATTGTACTGAAATAACTTTAATGGCTACCATTTCCCTCAAATGCCTTTTGGGATAGTTACCTCTTAGGTAAAACCCGTGGACTGAAACGAGATGTTTTGTTCTTGGATTTGAACGTTTTGTCTTATTCGGATAAATAAACTTGTCATAAATGCCTTTTTAGATGTAATTTTTCATAATTAAAAAAAATACATTTGCAAGTAGATTACATATTATTGGATTTTATCAAAAATTGCCCTTGACTTTGTGATGTACTGTGTAATACCATTTTTAATGGCATTAAATATCTTAATAGCAACAAGTCACGCGCAAATTTTTGCGTAAGCCACGTAAATATTTCTTTCTCTTGGTTCTGCAAATAATTAATTTACTCTAAACAGATGATTTAAGTATTTACGTATTACTTGTTATATGATTGACTTTATGTTAAAGTAAATGTGTCATGCTTCTGCCACAAAACAATCGATATTCAGCGACAGTAACGATATTATGATGATAGTTTCTTAATTCAAACGCAAACTTGATGCAGCCTCTACGCGAGCATTTATATTATGACATTGGATGAGCGATTTAAAAATGGGAAAAAATACATATATTAGGTTTTTTCGTTATTCCCATTGATATATCTCTATTTGGTGCTACCTAATTTATGCGTTTATTTTATTGCTCAACATTAACTGCATGTTTTGCTTCATTTAAGGCTTTTTCATATATGTATATCTGTAAATTTGTGAAGACAGGATGAAGTTCACATCAAAATATAATTTTAAGAGGTATGGATAACTCGTGTGTAAAATTATGAATCACAGTTTAATTGTGGGTTATCATCAGAGAAAGGCCTAAATCCAACTCTTAGTAAATGTTTTAAAATCTGTTCTAAAAATATGGAATTGTCTCATTTTCAAACCAATCACAATCAAATGTAATAAAATTTAATAAATTGCATTTTAATTGCGGGTGTAGGTATTTTTGCATTTCGGCATAGTTTAGTTTCTAGTTAATAAATAAAGAATGCATTCATATGCTGAAATCGGATATCTTTGATTGTAACTGAATTGAAACCTTAGTATAATGTACAATGTGTTTTTTTTTCAACACAGAAACATTGATTAAATAATGATGTAAAGAAACAAATCTAAATATAAATCAGGTAGTTTCAGAGTGGTTATATTATTATTAGTATTTAATTAAATATCGCTGCAGCAACAGGTTTGTTCACACTGTTTCACAAATATTGGCCTTATTTTAAAAAATTATCATTGTCCACTGTAATTATAAATATTGTTCGGACACTTTATACTTTGTTAATAACTGCTGTTACTTGATAATTGATGTTACAGTTTGCGTTCTTCATTCCGCGCTGGCGTAATGATTTCTTTTCTTGCTTTCCTCTCAGATTTCACCATCAAACGGTCCAGGTGAATATTCCTCCAGCAGCTCCATTTTAAATAGCGTGTACTTTCATCCAAGAAGGTCGAAGGTCTTCCGGAGTGCACCAAGTATGTGGTGGACCTCTTGAAAGACCCCTTTCTTCTGTGCAAGTTTTCATTCACTTGTAATTAATGTTTCTTAATGGGGGAAACGATGCTAATAGATTCGGGGGGAAAAACAGGAGAAACTCACTATATTTGGCTTATACCGCTGGGTTGTTTAACATGCAGGGCTCTCGGAACATGGACACGTTTGAAGACTTATGGAACAAAACATTCAGTCTGTTTACAGTGAGCACCGAAATTATAGCAACATGCCTTTACATTTATTTATTGCTTTCATTATTGGATTTAAAATAATCAGCGAATGAAATGTTGATTATAATGGAGGTAAGGTTGAAACCAATTTTATCTTAATATACATACAGATTAGCTGTTTATTTTTCAATGAAACGAGCCTTCATGGCATTTGTTAGCCAACAAGTTTTGACATAAAGAACATAGGCCTAGATGATAATAAAATTATTAAGCCCTTAAATAAGATTCGAAGTGTAACTATAGTGTTAAGCAATACAGTGTTTATTCAGACAAATATAAACCTTAACCATAAAGAAAATCGTAATATTTTAAGACTGAGCACAATGTAACATTTAAACGTGTTCTGTAATCATCAAAAACAGGATGTGATATGATTTATGAATTTGTATGTCGTTTTATAAAAATGTAAAAATCCATTGTGTATATTACGTCTAATTAATTTCGACTCAGCTAAAGAATAAATTGTGATTAGTTTAATGAATGAAAAACGGTGTAGTAGAACATTTATCGGTTGTTTAAATTTTTTTTCGTTAAACTTTGTTCCTGAAATTATTCAGTTTATCAAAAGAAACGTAATGTAAATTAGAATTTTATTGCAGTGATATTTCTGGCTGTTCCATTTTTCTCCTTTTTCCATAGCGATTATGTATTGTGAGTTTTTAAAATATATTCTATATATAAACATATTCTTATGTTCTTATGTTCTTATGTTAAGTAACGTCCAACGAAACCCTAAAACTATAAACGATAAAATGAAAAACCCCTAGTAGGTTACTTTCTCAGTTATTGAATGTCTTTGACAATTTGAAAATAATGTGCTCCTCGTCATAATTAATGGATCCTGCGTTTTAAAAATAAGTAAAATTATAATTAGATTGTTTTTGCTCTACTTGTTTACTTTCCATTGTAAAGAGTCTTTGGGATATTTACAGATTTTTTAATATCGATTCGAACCAGTTTTAGCTGATCATGACGACGTAAATAGTATTCATTTATAATCAATTGATTGACAGAACTTTCTTTCATTGAGACATTTTGGAAACTGAATGCTTTAAAAAGGTCGCAATGGGTTCAAAAGTGTTCAGTTCACCCTCCTTTCTCATACGCAGCTTGTAGCTAAACAGACTTCTCGGCAGTCTTGAGAAACACTCAGGGGAATCTTTGTTCCTAAGTGACTGTTTCATTTGTAATAGTAAAATTTTGATTCAAATGGACCGGCACTTCTTTTATCACGGTATGTACGCTAGTACACCCAAAGCTGGCTGATAATTATATATCTCTACTTAAGAAAATGAAAAAGAATAAATCTTTAAATGGACCTTTGAAATACGGTGGTAGTAGTAAATAAGTATAGTAATTCAACGATCAAGCGTGCATGAGAGTGGGCAAAAACACACGCAGCTGTGACGTGAGCCGTGTTCACCTGTAAGCAAATAACCTTTTGGAAATTAGCGCTTCCGACTGACATATTCCGTTGATAAAGCCGGAAAATGAGCTGTTTTAATACCCACACAATCCCCCCACCCATATCCAACCATTAATATTACTGCATAACATCATTACCTTTGTAGTTAATCATACCTGGGTGTATTAGTTGCATTTTTTTTCTTTGCGTTTCAACGCATTTCACTATGTACTCATGACATCAGAGACACAATATCATATATACTCCCTGTATACTGATGTGTTATTTAAACCAGTTACCTTTACTTTACCTTTTTAATTGTTATCTTAATGTATTTTTTAAAAGTAAGATTCAGTAGGCCTGCAATAAGTAAAGGTAAAAGCAGGTACTGATCATCCATCCATCCATTAATATGAAAATCGCTTATCCTTGTCTTGGTACTCCAGCCCCCCCCCCCCCACACACACACACACACACAGTCCAAAAACATGTTGAAGTTCATTGGAGTTACCAAAATGCCGGGAAGTCTGAATGGTGTGTATGTGAGTGTACCCTGTGATGGGTTGGTGCCCCTTAAGACAGCACATGTCCCTTATTTACTTGGGGGGGTCTTCATGTGGTCTCTTGTGAGATGTACTATTTTTTGCCAGGAATCTTGCCGCTTAGCAAAATAAGTTTATAGGTGTTCTCATGGGTGTTAACTTTTTATGCATCTTAAATTTTATGTGACTCATGTCCTTAGGGTGACTAAGTGGGTGTCACTGCTGCTTCTCATCTCTAAGGTTCTCCATCCCCTCTCTGTGTGGCCGCCATCTCATACCGGTGTCCCCTGGCTACTCTGGTTTCTTCCATAAGTACAAAGACATGCAGTTAGAGTCATTAGTTTCTCTAAATTGCTCATAGCACCACATATAACCGTGGTGAATTCTACAGCAAACAAAAAAGATTTTACAGAGCATGTGGGAAAAATCCATCCATCCATCCTCTAACTTTTTATTCTGGTCAGGGTAATGTGAGGTGGGGTCTG